AAGATGATGACTTTTGGTAGGACAGACTGGAGTGCAGAGAGTGGCAACGAGAGATGTTAGGAGGCCACTGCCGTTGTCTAGATAAGAGAAGACGAGGCAAAGTCTGAACTTGCCCTGGCAGCTCACGGATGCATTGAAATCACAAAAAGCGTCCTGTCCGGCTCTGCAGGCCATACACAGCCCCCCCATCCATGGTGGCCTGAGTGGGAATGGCTGTGATGGACTCCGCTGTCTTCTCTGAGCCCCAAGCTGTCAGAGGCACCAACCTCGGCTCGGGAGCGGCCTTATGTGCATGGGTAAGAAAATGACACAGCCCACTCGAGTGTGGCTCCTCCCAGCTCTAAGAGGGAATAATTATCTTTGTGTCACCCAAGCCCTTCATACTGGACTCCCCTTCCATTCCACAGACTTTCACAATGCTGTAAAGGAGGTCAATGGGGCCGAGTCTGGATTCTTGCACATCTTCTGGGGGAATTCATTACGAATTCCTTTCTCCACTTTTTGGTCTCGTAACTCAATAAGCTTTCCCATTTTAAAGTCAGATCGTTTGGAACTGAGACAAGAAAGCACAGGCTATGGGAACCAATTTTTCTGCAAATCCAGACCCTCTCCCTCTAATGCTTAGCCCAGATTTAATAACTGAGGGGTGATTAATCCTCAGATGACATTTTAATTACTTTTTCCAAAATTACTCGAGCCACATAAGAATTATCATGAGTAATTAAAATTCAAATGACACCCAATAATTGAGTGAAGTCCATTGGGTGCTGCAGAATGCCTGATCTTATCATCTTGCACAAATGGGTAATTTCTAATGGGTATCCCAGTCATTAGCTACATGGGCTGTGGGTAGCCTTTTAGGCGCAAAGCCAGCAGTGGGGCAGTGCCTGAGATGAGAGCAGGCAGGGCCCCCGTAAGTCCCTCACAAAGCTTGGGGCCTGGGTGTGGAAAGTTATACTAAACACAATGCAGAAGGAAGAGTCAAAGACACACATTCCACATCCGGAATGAAGAAGACTCACCATGACAAAAATGTGGAGAAGGGCTAGAGAAATGGCCTGGCTGATGAATGGCTTACTTTTCATGGCTGCTCATGGAAGGATCAGGCCGACCTCAGCCACTTGGCAGCCGGCAGGGCCAAGAGTAGTCTCGAGGCTGCGCGGTTATGGAACACTAAAGAGAGCCATCTCGTGACAGCCCTTCAGGGCACAGACGAGGCCACTGAGGGCCGGGGCGGAACAATGACCTGCCCAGTCAAGGTCTGACATCATGGTGTGCCTTGGTCTGATTCCAGCTGTTGTATGTCAGCAGCTCTCAGAGCTGGCTGGATGCTCAGCTCCAAAGATTAGTCATACACACTCAGAAGCATGAGTCTGACCCTGTGCCATTTACCATTTTTATCGATGACTGGGCACCAAGTCATGGGGGCAGGCTCATCCAATGCGTGAGTCACACACACACACACACACACACACACGGGAGGGCAGGCTACCACACTAGATGACAAAGTCAGTATGCAACCCAAAAGATCTCCTGGGGCTAGAATGTTGAGGCAAAAGGAGTGAGATGACCCTCAATAGAAATAAGTGGGAAGTTCTGTACATGGGAGTTCAGTTTCCTAAGTGCGAGATGGGGATGGCCTGGATGGACAGGGAGCCACCAGTGTGAGGTGCAAGCCAACAGGATTGTACCCTGCACAAAGAGGCACCAGGCTCAGGGCTAGAGCGACAACAAGACCGCTGTCTTCTCCTCTGGTCAAGCTACACCTCAAGGACAGTGTTGGGTTCTGAGGGCATCATTTAGGAAAGACATTGATAAGCTGGAGGATCCCAAAAGGAAAGCAGGATGGTGAGAGGTCCATGAGGACACCCCAGTGCCTTTCTTGGAGACCGTCTCCAATTTACCCTGGCTATCACTTGTTTGTACATAGTTATTTACAGGTTGTCTCTACCAGGTGTGTTCTCTGAGCAGATCGAGGGCAGCCACATGGTTTAGTGTCTTTCTTGGTATCTGGCACATAGTAGGTGCTTAATAAACGCTTGTTGACATGTTGAGAAGACTTGGAAGGGACTGTGTGAAAGGTTGTCCTGTGGAAGAGGCAGCATATTTATTCAGCTTGGCCCCAAAGGACACTGGGTACAAGTTTCTGAGGTGGATTTAGGCTTGATGTCTAAGTAAAAACTTCTTCACCAGCAAGGCCCTCTCCAAGTGGAATGGGCTGTCTTGGCAAGAGGTTCCTCCTCACAAGAGGTCTTCAAGCAAAGCTGGATGTGAGAAAGGGATTCCTGTTTGAGTAGTATTGGATAGGAAAGCGAGTGGCTCTCCTACTTAGTTCTGTTTTTAAGCATTAAATACATTTAGCTGTCCCACTCATAGGTATTTCCTGCTGAACTCCCTTTAGTTCCCACACGAGCTTTTCTTTATTTTGGCAAAATTATAATCTATATAAACACTAGATCTCCTTTACTCCCCAAATAGAAAACAAACCAACAAACAAAGCAACCCAGACCAAACGCTCCCTGGTAACCAGGAAGAATAATTAAGCCAAGAAATCCCACCCATCGGCCATGTCCAAAAATCTATGTCCCCTTCTGCTCCTCTAGTCCCTCTGCCACAGGCAGGAGCTGGCTTTCCACCGGGGAGGAGAACCTTACATAAATAAGCTCACGGAGCTAATACAGAGCAATTTTACTTGGGGAGAAGGACTAACAACTGGGGGAACTGGAGAGGTCTCTTGTGGGAGGTGGCCCCAGAGCTGAGCCTTCTAACAGGCTGAAATGAGGAGGGAGCAAAAATGCTCTTTAAGGCATCCCAAGGGCTCATCCAACCTCTGTTCAAAGACCTCCAGTGATGGGGAACTCACTACCTCCCAAGGCAACTAACTAATTATATTTTATGACAGTTCCAACGGTTCATAAATGTTCTTTATCTGGAGCTGCAATCTGCCTGTCTGCAACTCCAACCCACCAGCCCTGTTCTAATCCCAGTCCTCCATGGCAGCCCTTCAAACAGCTGGAGGCAGCTACCCCCCCCCACCCCAGTCTTTCCTTTTCCAGGCTTGCATGGGGTGCCCACAATCTTCCCTCGGAGGCCAGGACAGCAGGGTGACCTCATCCTACACTCCTGTGGCTCTCTGATGGAGGCCTCTGTCTCCAGGGGGACAGACGACAGTGCGTGCACACGATCGTCCCCTTCCCCATGCCCTGCCACCTAGACTGTAGCTTTTCCTAAGGCCTAGCCCCAGGCAGGTTAGGCTGGTTTTTTTCTTTAAGAGGAACTGAAACTCTCCCTGAGACTTGACTGGCTGAGGTTGTAGCCATGGCTTCCTGTCCACCTGAGGACAGCAGGCCACGAAGGGCTCCTGACCTGGGATGGACAGCCTGACTAATGGCAGGAGGCCATGCTCAATGCATCATTGAGATGCGCCACTGCGGCTAAGGAAGCCTCCTGCTGCAGGACTCCCAGGCATCCCATTTTGTTCCCATGTCCGCAGTTGGGCCTGCATCATGACCAGCCCCCCATAGGGCGCCTGTGCCTCCACCCAGCCCTCTCAGAACATCTGCCAGGGCCCTGGAGGGGCTCCGATGGGCCAGTGCACATCTGGGCTCTCCACGTGCAATCCACACCCTTCTCTCTGATCACACACTGCCCTGCCAAGCTCTCGAGCCACCTCCAATTTTAATCCTTTCAGAGGGTAGTGTTCCATGGTTCATGCCCATGTATCACGCCTAGGAGAAAACAGAGGATGACTGCAACTAGCATTTATAGAGCTCCTTACAAATATCACCACAAGTCTGACCCTCATAGCAATCCTGCGAGGCTGGTGCTATTACTGTCCCCATTTTTACATATGAGCAATCTAAGGCAGTCAGAGGTGAAGTAACTTGCCCTGGGTTATACAGTTAAGTAACTATCTCAGGCAGGATTTGAACTCAGGTCTTCTAGCCTCCAAGCCCAGAGCTCTTTCCATGGTGCCTCTTAGCTGCCTCTAGATAGATAGCTAAATAAACATTAAGAATGGGACAGCTAGGTGGTGCAGTGGATAGAGCACCGGCCCTGGATTCAGGAGAACCTTACTTCAAATCTGGCCTCAGGCACATAACACTTACTAGCTGTGTGACCCTGGGCAAGTCACTTAACACCATTGCCTAGCCAAAAAAAAAAAAAAAAAAAAAAATGGGCTTCCTCATAGGCAGTGGAACCAACTAGAGCCAGCTATCACCTCGGGGAGATGGAGAGGGAGACCAAGGGTGCTGCCAGAGGCCTTCCGCCTGGGCCTACAATGCTCTTCTGGCAGGGGGAGCTCCTCATTCAATCTGCTACCCTCAGCGCCAGCTCCAGTGGTTAGGGAACGTTTCCTGACCCGGAGCCCCAAACCTCCCCAGTCCCTTCTGGCTCTGCTCCCTGGGGCCAAGCAGAGCTAGCACCTTCCCCAACAGGCTTTCAAAGCCACAAGGCCAATGGCCACCTTCCCTCGGAGCCCCTGCTCGTCTTGGTCATTCCCGCTTGTATTCAGTTTGTCAGCTTTACACCAAAGAGGATGCCAAGAAGTAAAGACAATCCTTTTAGAAGGCACAGGCTTCCTAAGTCCAACCCCAACCCCTTACACTGAACCGTACTTCCCCTTGTAAAACCCTGTTATGAAGTCAATGGCCCTTTTCAATGCTGAGGATCTACCCCAGCCTCCCCCTTCAACCACCTAAGGTCCTCTTTTGAAAGCCAGTCCATTTCATAGGGATCAGCTCCATGGCTGGCAGCTCCTGAGGGGGCAGGTCTGCCATGGTGCTCCCACGGTTCACTGTAGTCCACTGGGCCCGCCCTGGCCCATGCTGGTGCTACTGGCCCTCATACTGTACATCACTCCAAGAAGGTCTCCAGACCAAGAAAACCAGGGAAAGGTGGGGCCCAGGGTTCTGTTTGCTGCTTCCAGGACCTGAGGATAACGGCAGCCCAGTGCAGAGCCCTGAGTGAGGTTGTGCTGGGGTAGGGGCAGGACCTACCCTTCCTCAATGGTGACAGAGTTCATGAGCAGAGAGTTGGTGATTTTTGCTCTGTCTCTTATGAGGCAGCTGGACCCAATGATGGAGTGTTTAATGGAGGTCTTCTCACCCACTTGCACAGATGGTCCAATGATGCTGTCAGGTCCGACCTGCAGAAGCACAGAGGATGAGCCAGTGAAGTCCCTGGCCCAGAGCTTCCAGACCACACTCCCCCCACTCCCCCTTTTTTATCTTCCCTAATCCCTTCCCCTGCCCACATCTCCAAGCTAGGACCTGGTGCACCCTTTTGGGAGGGTGGGGGGTGTGGAGGGGTGTCAGGGTTTGGATCTGCCAGGAACTCCCACTCCCTAGGACCACACTTGTGTGACTGACTAAGAGCTAAGCAGAAAACCTCAGCAGGCAATAGCTACTGTACTCTCCATGTTTGCTGGCCATTGGTCCCCCAGCCAGGACAGAAAAGAAGGGACAGGTCCAGGGTTGGGCCTGGCTTCCCCCAGCCTCCCCAAGCAGGCCACACTGCCCACTGAGCTTCAAGGCCAGGGCTGGTAGGTGATGGGTGATTTCCATAATAGCTTAAGTACACCTGGGACCCAGCTGGGCCCTAGGGACTTCCCTGTGCTCCTCTGTGTACCAGGTTTGAGACCTTCCATACCAGGGACAGCCCCTTGCTCTGGGGTGGGGCGAGGGTCACTCACCAGGGCCTGGTCAGAGATCTGTGCAGACGGGTGAAGCAAGGCTTCCTCAGGGCAGAGAACAGGCAGCAATTTGGGGATCTGAAGAAAGAAAGGGAGAGCTCTGTGACTCAGGCAGGAGAGCTGCTGTGCTGAAAGCCTCCTAGACCTCTCCTTCTACATTTCTCATTTGCTTCTGTGTTGGCTCATCAGACTACAGGATTTCAAGAGAGATGAAGGGCCCTCGGAGGTCGGTCATCTGGCCCAACTCTCTTATCACCGGCCCTCGAGAGGTTTGGTGATGACTGGCCCAAAGGCTCAGAGCTGGGTGTGGACCCCAGGCCATCAGCTCCTCTTCCAGCAACTCAATCTCGAGCTTGTGGAGAACTCATTACTTACACGTCATCTCCACTGAGAAGGCTGTGAGCTCCTGGAGGGCAGGGACCACATCTGCCCTTTCTTTGTACACCCAGTGCTTAGCACAGCACCTGGCATGCAGCAGGTGGTTAAGAAATGCTTGTTGACTGACATCCCCATTCCCACCCCCACTCCAAAGGCTTCGAGCCAGGAGCAGGGAGCCAAGTCTCTAAGACCCAGGGGGGAGCTGGGATTGCCTGCCTGACATGTCCTGTCACTGTGGAGTTCCCAGGATGAGAAGGGAGACTCCCCTCATGCAAAGGAGGCCCTCCCTGGTTCTCAGCCCTTGGAGAACAAAACTAGCTGTGTGCCCCTGGGCAAAGCCCCTGTGCTCCTCTGCAGAAGGAGTACCATGAAGCTTCTAAGGTGTTTCCAGTGCTGACATTCCAGCCTCCTTGGGAGTACACAGCTCGGCCCCCCAACTCCCACACAGACCTCAAGTCACGGATAGGGCGGACCTCCTGTGCCCTGATGGAGCTCAGAGCCCAGGAAGCATGTAAGGCGGTGCCACAGAAAACGACCCTCTGTGACAAGAAGCTCAAAGCGGCCCCAGGCCCGTGGCTCTGCAGGAGGTCTGTGTGGGAAGGAAGGTCCCCTCAGGGAGGAGCATTCAGTCTGGATTCTAAAGAATGGTTAAAAATACAACCGGCAAAGATAATACTGTGGCCACGAGAGCGAGGCAGATGCCGTGGGCCTGGTGGCTGGGGAAGACATCTTGCCCACATCCCTTCTCTCTTCTGTGCTGACCCTCATCCCTTCAGGCCTGGATCCCTGCTGCAGCTGCTGGGAGGCCGCCGCTGCCCTCCCTCCCACTCAGCTGTCAAAATGATTGTGCTAAAGCCCGGGTCCAACTACGTCACGCCCGCCTTCATCCAACAAGCTGCAGTGGTTCCCTCTCACCTCCATGAGCAAAGACAAACTCTCTCTTACCATTCCTGTCTCCTCACACCTTACTATCCTCCACAGACTCCTACAGTCCAGTAACACTGGCCTTCCAGCTGCTCTCCACACTCTGGGCCTTTTCTCTGGCTGTGCCCCCTGCCTGGCATGCCCTCTCTCCTCATCTCTGCCGCCTGGCTTCCCTGGCTTCCTTCAAGTCCCTGTTCCCTGCTCCCTTCACCCACCTACTCCCTGCTGGGGCCTTCTCTCTGAGCTGACCTTCCACCCACCTCATGTCTATTGTGTACACAGCTATTTCTTCTATTAGAATGTAAGCTCCCTGAGGGCACAGCACAGGGCCTGGCACATTCAGTAAGCTCAGTAAGCCAGCCAGCCCCCTTCTCCCATTGATAAGTTCTTTTTTGGGGCCTCCATGCTGGGGACAGGGTGGGCACTGGCTGGATGTGCTATCTGGACTTTGCTGCTAGCATGAGGACTTTCAGCTTCCTGATCCCGCCCACCTCCCCCATTCCCTTTTCTGCTCCCTTTACGTGCTATTTACCCCCTCCCCTTAGACTGTAAGCTACTTGAAGGCAGGGGCAATCTTTCTTTATGCTAATTTTTGTATCCCCAGTGCTTGGTACAGGGCCTGGGAGAGAGTAAGGGCTTCATAAATGCTGCTGGCCAGTTGACTGACTAGTTGTGCATGGAGTACGAGGAAAGGGATGGTTGAGACGAGGTGGCTGCCTGTGGAAGAGGATCTCGAATGCCAGGGAAAGGGGGATGAATGTCTCTGGAGGACAACGGAGAGCCCTGAAGATTTCTGATCCAAACAGAGACGTCCCAAGGCCCAGTGCGACAGCACAGGTAGCTCAGAGTGCGTGCGTGTGTGCGTGTGTGCAGCTTTGGGATCCACAGGCTCAGTAACTGATTGGAGAGAAAGGCAGCAGCAGAAGGGAGGTTCACTGACAGCCACTTAGAGCGATGGAGAACTCAGTGCTCCCTGAGGCAGCTCATTTTGCCCCACTAGGGCATCTTCGGACACTGAGCTAACCCTGTCTGCCCCTGGCCACGTCAGGCAGACCAGGCCTCTCCACGGGGGCCGTCGGGGAGCTCGGGGCTCAGGCAGCTCCCTCCACCTCCCCCCAGCCGCCCTGACACGCCTGCCCAGGATTTCTGAGCGCAGCAGGACAGCAAGCCGGGCAAACACGTCTCCCGCCTCTGGAGGGCCAATGACTCCTCCTCTTACCTGCTTGTTGGCTTCGATGTAGAGCCCCAGGGTGTTCACTCGAGAGCAGACCCCCTCTTTCATGACATGGACGTAGCAGCTGACTTGGCCTCGAGGACCCTGACAGTCCTTCCGATAGATATTGTGGGGCTCCACAGCCAGCAGGTCATTGTCCTTTAGGAAGCTGTGAATATCTGCAGGAGGCAGGGGACAGAGAAGGCATCAGCTGGGAACACAGGGAAGGTGCTCACCGAGAACTCCCCTCATCCTCCGAGCAGTCAGCCTGCTCACGGCCTCCCTCCTGGAGGGAAACAGGGACAAGAAGCCTTCCAACGTCCCTGTGAGGTACTCAGCCCAAGTCACCTGCCCATGACCCCCCAGACAGAAGGCATCCGAGGCAGGACTTGAACCCACATCCCCCGATGCCAAGTTCTATTACACCACCCTGCCTCCAAGTAAAGCTTCACCTTCCGCCTTTATGGAGGGAAGTTAAGGGAGGTTATGAAATCAACTCCCACGTGGGGGAAGATTCATTTAGAGAAATTAAGCAAGTCATGAGGAGGGAAAATTTAGCAGGCAGCTTAGCCACCAACAGGACCCCGTTTGGTATGCCCGTGTGGCTGCCTCCTAGCAGATTGCAGGCTCCTTTATTCCTGACAAGCATTTTCCCTCGCCTACTAGACTTAGAAGGCCCCAGATTCCCGAGAGCAGAGGCTAGACTTTAAGAACTGGCAGCAAGGAAGACAGGCACAGCAGTCCCAAGGTGGGACTATCTCCAGGATTTATCTCTGGGGCTCTGGCTACACACCTGGGCCCCAGCTAGGCCCCTACATGACCAACCCAGCCTGCAAGAACAAGCAATGGCCCAAACCCTATGGGAGAGCCCCAGAACTAGGAGAATCCACTTAAAAGCCAGGGCAGCAGATTCTGGGTCCCTCTCAGCTAGGAGCTCAGCAGCAGACCTAGCTTCAGCTCTGCTGCCCACAGAGGAGCCACTGCTTCTCAGCTCCTGCACTGACCTATGGACTTCTGGTCCTTCTTTTCTGGGGTCTGCTCTTTTTCAATGCATCCCTGCAGCGATGAAGGCACAGAGAACTGTTTCCTAACTAAGTATGGAATCAGCTCACTCCGGATGGATGTGATTGACCTAGGAAGAAAAAAGAGCCAGGCATGAAGCACCCCTCGGGCATTCACCCTATCTCACACCAGGGTGGGCCCCACTGCCTACCCCATCCCCATTTTAACCCTTGAAAGGAAGCAGGCTGTGGTTGGTCAGGAGGCCCAGACCTCTGATTATACAACCTGCCCAATTAGCTTCACAATTCTGAAATGCTGGCACTTTTAAAATCACAAGTCTGATTAAGGAGCACCTGCACTATGGAAGGGAATGGTGTCACGCCTGCTCAGTCACTCCAACAATGTGCGCCTTGTGCCAAGGCTCTTCACAGCAAGGATGCCCGTGGAGATAGGGGCCGGCCGGCACGGGGTCCTGCGCAGGCCCACGTTGCTAGGGTGCCTGGCAGGCAGCTCGTTCTCCTGCAGGGCCTGGGCTGGCCCAGCTGACAGCTCTCCCAGCTGCTTCTTCCAGGCCAAAGGGGGATCTGCCATCTGCTGTTCAGACACAGGCGCCAATAGCACCAGCTGCTCTCTCTCAAGCCAGCCTTCGACTGGGCGGTGACAGGGAAGTCTGGCCAGGGCTGGGGCTGCCCTCACCCTGGGTGCCAAGCTGGAAGCAGCCTAGTAATGGCCCATCAGTAGGGACTTTCTGCAAGCTTTGACATTCCCTCCCAAACTGACAAGCACATGTTTCTTGTGGGGCTGCCCTGGGCATTCTGACAGCAGAAGGCAGGCTTTAGCAGGGCTTGGGGCGGATGCTTCTGTGGAGAATAGCCGGGTAGAGCTGGAAATGGCATCATGGGGAAAACTCCACCCGCCTCTGTTATCTGACACACCAGACAACACCAGACAACCCAAACTGTTCCCCAGAATGCCCCTGCTCCACAGAGAAAGACACTCAAGCATGTACAGGGACTCCTGACCCCCCTGCCAGGGGAGGTGGGCAGAGGCAGCCATGGTATAAGAGAAATGGATCCCCAGGAAACACACTTTTAAAATGTTTTGAGAAATTTCTTAAGACCACAAAAGAGGCCTTATTCTCCTGACCATAGAGGGGAGGAGAAGCCAGGGCATGATGGGGTAGGAGGAATGAGTCAGATGCCTGAAGGGGAATTCACTTCAGAAAAGTCTCCTCTGCTCAGAACCCCCAGTACTCATTTTAAACCTAAGGAGAAGTAATTGCAGAAATCTATGACAGTCTTCCATCTCCAGCTGCCTAAGTCAAGGTGGCTAGGCAGTGAGCAGCCTCCCCTCTAAACTGCAGCTGCTCTGGAGATGTTGGGTGGGAGCCCCAAACCAACTGGCCAAGGGCTGAGTCTCATACAAGCCCCGGAGTGTGATGTGGTGGTGACAAGAGGCGCCCCTCCCCTCTGGCCTTCTCTTCTCCATTTGCTTCAGGGGACAGAGGCTTGACTTGCGATATTCAGAGTTTCATAGATTCTGAGAGAGAAGGGAGGGAATGTGGGTATCATTAAATCTAACCCCCTTATCTCAAAGATGAAGAAACTGAATCCAAGAGAGGCAAAGGGACTGGTCCAAGGTCACAGAGACAGTAAGTGGCAGCTAGATTTCCCATCCAGGGCTTCTGACTCCAAATCTGATATTTTTCCTCACTAAGAGATGCCCCAATTAAGTAAACACTAAGTGCTTACTGTAGGCAGAATCCTGGGCCGGGCAGTAAGAACATACAGGTTCTTGAAGCTCTCACCTCTGGTCCCTGGCCCTAGAACTGACTGTCTGAGAAACCTGGAAATAGCCAGAGTGTGCTTCAGATGGGGATAAATGCAGGGAGCATGAATGGAAAGTGGAGGCAGAAGGAAGTTTTTACAGGACAGGCTGTGGTGGGGATAAGTTTCAGCACAGCCCAGGAGGCCAAAGGAGCAAACTCCGTGCACGCACACTTGAATACACATGCCTGTGCACTTCAGATTTAAGCACAAAGACGACAGCAGCAGAGTCAAGGCTGAACCTGAGGGGTCAGAGCGGAGGAGGGAGTTCCCTGTGTCTGTGGCGGCCCAGGCGTACAATGCCTCTTCTGCCAGGAAAACTTTCTTGACTCCCTCATACAAAAAATGGCCTCTCGGGGCAGGTAGGTGGCACAGCGGATAGAGCACCAGCCCTGGATTCAGGAGGACCTGAGTTCAAATCTGGCCTTAGACACATAACACTTACTAGCTATGTGACCCTGGGCAAGTCACTTAACCCCACTGCCTAGCCAAAACAACAACAACAAAAAAATGGCCTCTCCTCACTCTTCCTCAGTCCACTGACTCTCTCCAGACTCAGGCCTCACAGGACAGCAGGAAGAAGAAAGTCTTGGCCGTGCAGCCTGGGCCCCTGAGCAAGTCCCTTCACTTTCCTGGGTCTCAGCTTCCTCCTCAGCCAAGTGAGGGGCCGGGCTGGAGGCCTCTCAGTGGTTGACTTTCTATCTGTGACCTCTTTGAGGACAGGTGTCTGGGTCACAGAATCAAAACCATGCAAGCCAGGAGATGGAAGGAAGTTCAGAAGCCTTGGAGTCTAACCAGCATCTGGTGAACGACTGCTTCTGTCATCCCCTCTCTCATATAATAGCCCCTCCAACACCTGAACACAGCTGGTGGCACAATGGCTACAGTGCCAGGCCTGGGGTCAGGACAAACCGAGTTCAAATCTGACCGTAGACACTTAGTAGCTGGATGACCCTGGGCAAGTCACTTAACCTCCATCTACCTCAGTTTCCTCAACTGCAAAATGGGGACAACAGCACTCACCTCAGTGTTGTTACAAGAATCAAATGAGATAATTTGTGAAGTGCTTATTTAGTACAGTGCCTGGCACACAGTAGGAAAGGGACCAGTATTAAGAAAGGCTTCATGAAGAGGTGGTATTTTAGCTAGGACTTAAAAGAAGCCAGGAAGGACCTGGATTGGACCTAGAGAAGGGATGAATGACAGAAAGAATGACGATGAAGGCGGTCCCAGCAATGGACCCTCAGAAGAACCCAGTCCAGTCTCTAGAGACAGCAACCCTGGCCAGTGAGCGTCCAGCCTCTGCTTAAATAATAACTAGCTAGCATTTACATAGTTTGCAAAGCATTGTGCAAATATTCTCTCATTTGATAGACCTCCGGAGATGAGAAGCTCACTATCTCCTGAGGCAGCCGATTCCACTTTGGATCAGCATCTCAACCTGCCTTTCTGTACTGCTCCCCAGGACCCTGGGGATCCTCCAGGGATCTGTCCTGGCCCATCCTCTCCCTTGGTGACCTCACCAGTTTCCATGCGCTCAGTGACCATCTCTGTGCAGATGATTCCCAGTTCCTAATGCCGAGGCCTCCTGACCTCCAGGCCCACATCACTGCTTTTTGGGCATTTCAAACTGGATGGCCTCTTGGTCTCAACTTTAGAATGTCTACAACAGAACTCGTTATTTTCTCCTCCAACCCCGCCCCCAGATTCATAAATTCAGTGTGTTTGTAGACTGGCACCCATGCCTTGGCCACACCCCTCCCCATCTTCATTTGCTGAAATCCTTTTTTTAGCCTTGGAGTCTAACCCCCAGGCACAGCACAGGCTGCTCTGACTCTCCCCGGTGTCAATGACCCCTTCTCCTCATCACTGAGTTTGTTTTGTGCATATTCTATATTTTGAGTATTTATTTGGCACATGTTGGGACCCTCATAAGAAATGGGGAGTTAAACCTGAAGAAAGGAAGCAGGGAGAGGTGGGAATGGGGAGCAGGGGGAAGAAAAGAAGCCTTTATTAAGTGCCTACTTGTATACATCTTGTTTGTACGCAGTTGTCTGCGTGCTGTCTCTTCTGTTGGATTGTGAGCTCCCAGAAGACAGGGACTCTTGGACCTTCCTTTGTATTCCCAGAGCTTTAGCACAATGCCCAGCACACAGTAGGTGTCTAATAAGTGTTTACTGACTGACTGATAACTTCTTCCTCAAATTCGCCTAGAGGTTTTTCAAGGATTTCACAGAATTTTTAATTGCAGAGCCTGGAGTGGCTGTCTAGTCTTTTTCAGACCCGAAAATGGAGCCCTTATCATGACACACCAGCCAAGGGGCCACCCAGCCTCTGCTCGGAAAGCATGAAGCCATCACTTCTTTCTTCTGTCAAATCCATTATTTCATACCCACCTTTCGGTAAGAGCAAGGGCAGGACCTGTGCGTGTGTCTTGAAAATAGCAAGCAATTATTAATCAATTAAGCAACAAGCAGTTATCAGGTGCTAAGGGCGCCAGGCCTGGGGGCAGGTGCTAGGGACACAAACCCCCAAAGTCAACCATCCCTGCCTTCGAGGGGCTAATGGACATGCCATCTGGGAAAGAGAACTCCAACTGACCTGAAAAGGGAGCAGGCTTGTTTGCCTCCAGGGGATGAAACTGGGGCCAAAGTTACAAAAGGACCCACCCACTCTGGCTCAGTATTTCTGAAGAGAGAAAGCTGGACGTGTTGTAAGGCTGCAGGCCTGCCCAGAGGGTGCTTGTGGTTACAGGGGAAGGCACGGGCCTAGAGCAGCACGGCCCAATGACAGAAATGGGTCCCTGCCTAGGGCAGCCTATGACTTAGAAGCCCACCAACTAACACCATCTAGGACATATTCTGTTGTTACTTATTTTGCCAAACCTTCCCCAATTACATTTTAATCTGGTTCAAGGTGATCTGCAAGTTTGCCGCCTCTAGATAAGACCATTTAGGACCCTCCCTACCTTGCAACTACATGAACTGAAATTCTTCAGATCTCTAGGGAAGGGAGAGCTGTGGTTCGAATAACTTGGGAAATGCTCATGGGCAGACAGGCCCCCTCCTTGCCTGGCTCCAGGAATAAGGGCCCCTGGCCCACAGGCGCATCCAGAGCAGAAGCCCAGGAGGCCACAGCTTTGGTTCCTTCTTCAGACGTGGTGAATGTCTGGCATCCTCCAGTGGAAAGATCGGGCTGGGGGTGGGGGCAGCAAGAGGCCAGTTCTAATTTTCTGTTCTCTTTGGGTCTTTTTTAATCAGCCAGTGATAAAATATGAAATTGGGGGGTGGGGCAGCTGTCCAAG